CTTTCTTTCCGCTGCCGCTTTCTGTACGCTGATTTGTTGAGACAAAATAATTAATTTCTCAAAAACTATTGCGAATATCGCAAAACGGCACAGGACTTTCTTGCTCACCTCAATCCGTTCTACGTTCTCACCAAGGGTCATCATGGGACTTCGGGACACCCTGTATATATATGAATTATTATGAATTATTATTTGAATTATATAACATTAATCCAAAACAAATTTTCCTCATTGGATAATTAATGTCTCTGCAATATTGTATTGTAGTAAGCAACATTGCAACGTTATCACAACATAGCTGCAAGTTTCTATGCTATAAGGAATGATTTTTTAAAATATTAATCAAGTTATTCTACTTATAAAAGTACTAAAAAGATCAAAGATCATTTAAAAGTAAATATTTTCTAAGATATTTTATTCTGATAATACTTTCCAACATAAGATATAAAATTTTTCATAAAGTAACCACTTTATTAGATTATCCCATCTTATAAGTTTTGTACGTACAATGACACGAGGAATCGATAGCTGTGAAAAAAACAAAAAATAAAACTGGTGCATTGCATTTTGGAGGTGCATTGATGCATCAGTAAGAATATTTCAAGAAAGTTCTAAAAAAATGGAAGCTTCTAGTATATTAGTTTCTAGTACTTTCTAGTACTTAAAATAGTTTTTAAATATTAATTCCATAAATAGCTCAATTTCAAAATTAAAATAAGGAAGATTCTTAGAATATATTAAAATCCATGGCAAAAAATATATTGTTAGAACAATTTGTAGATCATCTTCGAAGACGCATGTAAGATGAACTATGTGCGCCAGACCAGAACATGTACATTAGAACATTCTCCAAGATAACACATTAAAACATCCTTCAAAACGACTTCCACTTTGGGTGCGTCCCACATGACGTTCATAACGATCACGCCCGTAATATTGCGATTACTCCACTAACATGAATGTGTCAGGCAAATGGAACGAGTTATGAGCGCGAGAATATCAATTATGGTATATGTAGTGATATATTGTATAGTAAAAATAATTACAGAGAACGACTTAGACGTCATTTTAACGAAATCATTTTAAATTAATTTCTTCAATAAATATATACAACGATTTTAGTTTTAAATATATAAAATACTATCAAAATGTCTATTATTATTATTTTATTTTAATTTATTTTATTTTATTTTATTTTATTTTTTATTGACTGATAAGTAATTTGCCAGATAGCACAGAGAATTAAAAAAAAATTCAAATTCAGTTATATAACACCAATTCTGAATTTATTTTTAGATGCAAAAACAATTTTTTTCACTAAAAAAAATTTTTTTACATCTGAAAATTTAACTCTAAAAAAATTTTTTTACATCTGAAAATGAACTCAGAATTGGTGACATACAATTGAATTCTCTTAGAATTCTCTGTGCTATCTGGATTTATATATGCCTATATTTATATTGATTTTCAGGATGCAGAAGATAACACTTGAATGTATTTTAAACATTATCAGTTCTGATCTTCTTTGTAAAACAACAGATTACAACAGAAAATAATCCCGCCTCATCAACAATCCATGATTGCAATAAATTCATATATCTTGTCTCTTTCATGATCGTACAATATAACTTCCATTTGTTCAACGTCTTTACATGTCATTTTCGCCACATAATCGCAAACACGTTTATATTACTGTAGCACCTCAAGCGCACGAATGAAACGTATAAACAGTAAATCATTAGACGCTCACGCCGATCCACCTCTTCAGAATGAACGTTATGAGCCTAATCATTTGAACGACCTATATTTTTTAAATAGTTGTATATATGTAAATTTTATTGCGCAGGTATAATCGTATCATAAAATAGCTGCACAATGAAACTTTCGTGAGCAATCTGATCACGTGGCAAGCACCATGTGAAACACACCCCTTGAATTACGTGTGCGAGTTGTTCTCGTCTCGCAAATTCAGCGCTACTTTACCACGCATCCTCGAAATTTTTGAACAATTGCGCGATGACATTTGTCGTTCAACAATATCGAGAGCACTGCAGTGAGATATGTAGACGAGAAAACGGGAGTATGAAGGAACTTCATTGAGACAATTCGTTTCAATGATCGTTTACTTCTCTCTTTATTGAGGATAATTTTTGAACGCCGCCTTAAACTAGGCAAACTCGATTCGGTTCGGTTAGATCCCGGTCGCGCAGAACTTCAGGTCGGACCGCACTGCATACGCACTGCGTGCGTAACATTCAAAACTTTAACATCGCGAGCGTGTACATCCTCTACATTACACAAGGACAAATATGCAAGCGGAAGCGGCGAGTCCGTTGCGATTGTTGCAGGTTAGTCGCAAGGGAAACGCCTGTGCTCGTATCTTCTGCGTATACCATAATAAAACCATTCCTTCTTTTGTTCATTTTCTTTTTCTGTAAAGAGTCTAAAAAGAGGAGGAGTAGGGTGAACGAAATATTACGTGTCAAGTGCGACCGAGAACGACCGATGAATCGTAAAAGTACGGAATGCACGGCTCACGAGCGGTAAATAATGAGTAACATTCCTTCTCTTTCCCGTGCACAGTAAGTTGTTTTTTTTTCTTTTCTTCATTTTCTCAATATTCTTACAGTTAGAGTTATTATGTACAGTATTGTGGACACGATTCCGAATCGACTTTCACTTGTAACTTGTAACTTTGTCTCGCTTGTAACTTCGTCTCGCTTGTAACTTTGTTTTGCTTGTAACTTTGTTTTGCTTGTAACTTTGTTTCACTTATAACTTTGTTTCGCTTGTAATCTCTCTACAAGTGCGACTACACACACACTCTCACATTTGTTTCATTCGCGCGTATTAGCGATTACATGGTCGAACGATGACAAATACCGCCAATCCTCGACGATTCTTCAAATGTTACATAATTGATGTCGATACGAGCTGTTGAATGAAACAGAATGTTCAAGTTGTTCGATAATGTAATTATATGCATATATGTATGTATTTGTGTGTGTATACATAGGATGAATTTCTAGAATCGCTTAAATTAACGTAATATATATTAATTTTATGGGAAAATATTTTTTATAGACAAAAATTAAATGATTTTGAAGGATCTGCATTTTGCTTACCTCATTTTTTTCTTATATAAAAATACCAAGTCATACACGAAGATAATCTCTATACTTTTAGATAGGATGATCTGTTCTTAATTAGTTACAATTATAGACGATAAAGAACTGATAACCTGTGTCATTTCATTTTTAGATGATCTTGAAATTTAAAAAGTAAAAAATGAAGGCGATGATAAGAATTGAATAAAGCAATGATATTGAATGAACAAAATATATATTTTTTTTATTTAAATAATATGCTCAAACTGTTCATTATTCACCTCTCGACATTTTTTAACACACTATCTAAAAATGGACAATAGTTTATAATATATTTCTTGTAATCATTATGTAGGCATGTATTTATAGTACGTTATTACATATCTTAACAGATGCAGTGTATCGGGATGCATTAATCCAGAAAACATAGATATACGATTACAAGGAACATTAATAATTAACAAGAAAATTGTTAACTCATTCAGTATAAATATCTAAAAAACATCTTAGAAATCTCTAAAAAATATCCTATTTGTTATCCTTTTTGTTATGTCTTTAAGGCATCTGTAAAACGTATTTTAGATATTTTTATTGTTAGACTTGTTAATCTACTAAATACTAAACTTGTTAATTTGTTATTTAATTTGTTAAACTTGTTAATTTGTTACTTAATTTGTTAAATTTAATATTTTTTAGTTTGTTAAAATTATTTAATTTATTAAACTTGTTAAATTTATTAATTTAATAATTAATAAAAAAACTCTTAACTTAATCATTAATAAGTAAACTATAGTAGTTATGAGGAATATGTTATAAACGGTTCGTGCATCTTTTAAACAGTACATGCTCAATAATGTCGTAAGGTTAATATGGTAAAACATTTCGAGCATATTATTTAAATAAAAAACTGTATTTTGTTCGCAATATCATTGTTTTATTCAATATCTATCACTGTTTTCATTCATACTTCCTGTAATTTCATGGCCATCTAAAGGGCAACCGATACAGGTCATTGGATTCACCTCCTTTTTGTTTACAGTCGTTAATACAGTTACAATTTATTAAAAATGAGATATTTAAGCTTTAAAAAATTGAATTGACCTTCATGGCGCTTTCGCATAGGAACAAAATGAAGTAATAAAAAAATATAAACCCTTCAAAAATCATTCCACTTTTGTCTATAAAATATTTTTCTGTAAAATCAATATTTATTAAGTTATTAGGCGATAGTTTCTAATAATTTATCCTATATTCTCGCTTGCACAACGGTTTTTACACTTTCTTTTTTATGAAATTAGAAGCATATTAAATGTTCACGATTGTGAGTCACTACTCGCGAACTTTTACGGTAATCGATTATGGCGGGAATTGAAGTAATCATTATACGGAATATGTGCAACTGCAACGGAAAATTCGAAGAAACACAAATATATTGATTATACTCTTATTTATCAAATAAAAGTATAATAAAAGATCGATATATTTACTTCATGTATCGTTATTTCAGCTTCTGTTATAACTGATTATCATGCAAAGTAATAACCAAAGCAGTGATTCGCAATCCTATTTTACACAATATTTTAACTTTACTTGAGAAAGTATGCAAAAATCGTTATGCAAATGCATATACACAAAATATTGACATATATACACATATATACATATATAATTAACTAATAATCATTATTAATAATGAACTAAATATTAGTCACGTTTCATATTTTTAAGGTCAAATAAAAAGAACTTTTACAGAGGCGCTAGGTACAACTACCTTATCGCATTTTTTACAAGTCCATATAACGCAAAAAGAATTAAAATTTTTTTACCTTGTAAAAATAATTACGGACACGTATTTCACTATTAAGACATGAAAAAATATTTTATATTATAGATAAAATTAATATTTTTCTATCGACTTATACCCAACAGCTAGTGTTCCACCCAACAGCTCTTATAATCATTAAGAGATTGTGAGAATTATATATGTCATCTGTGGAAGGAATAAGCGATAAACGCCACATAGCCGAAAAATTAACAAAAAATGCTTAACGAAAAATTTACTAAAAAATCGTCTAATTCTGCTGCTCTTTTTCTTATCTCCTTTTTCTCTATTTTTCTGTATCTCTTTTTCTTCCTCTCTTTTTCTCTAGCATCGAAAGATTCCGCAGTTAAGCTACAATGAACAGCGGTACGATAAAAAATACACTCACCGTTTTGACTTTCACTCGCTCACTCAATCATTCATTCTTTTCCTCTTTTGTAACAAGAATTAAAAATATTTCTGCGATATCGTAAAACGGCATTACAATTTCATCGTACCGGATGTTCGATCACTTCACATTAAATTCGTCGAATTCATATACGCGCATTAAAGACGCGGTTTTGCAATAATACAATGCAGATTCGTCTTAAATTTGCGTTGCAACTGAGTCGATCGTGAATAAACACGCTGTATCGTGCGCGTTATAAGAAAGATTTTGCAAAAAAAAAGAATCCTAGAATCCTAAAGAGAACAAAAAAAAAGAGAGAAAGAAAGGAACGGAAACGAGCGGCCAAGTTTAAGAACTTCTTTCCCAACGGAAAGGCGCGAATACTCGTCTGTAATTAATTAAATAAACGTCCATGCTTTACAATAAATGCCGCTACGAATAACATTAACGCGCGATGGTCCAACGTATCCTCTTATTTTTTTTTTCTCTTTCTCTCTCTCCCCCGTCTCTCACATACACGAATGCAAACACACACACATACACACACACACACACTCTCTCTCTCTCTCTCTCTCTCTGTTTGTCTGTCTTTCTGTCCTTTTACACTTTCTCTCTTATCGTTGGCTACATTACGCACACAATCTCTAATAACACATCTCACTTCCAACTTAACTTAAGTCGATCTCGTCAACGATTGGTATTAAAAAATACGATTGGACGATCGTCAACCGAGCGCGAACACACCCCGAGTCTATGTATCTCATGTGTGGTATCGCTGAACGAAGTATAATATAATCGGCGCGTGTACACATCGCCGGCAGAACGTTGCGTATTTGTTACGTAGACTTCACGGCGCGTTTACTATACACTTTTGAGGAGCATTTAACGCGTGTGTGTGTGTGTGTATGTGTGTGTGTTGTTGTATGTATCTGTGTGCGAATTATGGATTATATGTGTTTACGCGTCCCTTATATGCATTCCTTCTACACGCACGCGACACCGTGTCGGAGTTAACTCTCATTTGGTTTCTTTTGGCATACAAAATAATTTTATTTACAGTCTGTTGATAATATCAGTTACTCTTATATAGTCTTTTATATATATATATATATATATATATATATATATATATATATATATATGTGTGTATGTATATATGTATATGTGTATATATATGTATGTATACCCATATAAGCATACATATATACATATACATACATATGTATATATACATAATATGTATACGCGCTATAAAGTACGCTGGTACAATCGTGTTCCTATAATATTATGCGAGTAAAGAAGTATTTACACAGTGAAACGGCAAATATAAATATCATCGGGCAGGTATTAACAGCGCGTGGAGATGCGTCGTATGCGCGTGTCACCTCGTTACCTATCTCGATCGATCGTTTCGTTGTAGAGACATTCGGCCGTGAATTTGTCTCCGCGGAATGAAACGGATAACAGTAATCGAAAGTGTCATCGGCGAGACCCTGGACGATACACATAGTGCGAGTTACTGGACGCCGGGAGAAGGGCAGATTCTAAGGCGTTAGATTGTATCGCGAAGAATTAAACCGGCATGTTCCGTATACGTATACGACGGCGTCGCGCGTTGATGTTTGTGCGCGTGTACGCGCGCGCGAGAGGCGCAGACAAATTCGATTGTGTGGCACAGCCGGAAATAAGAGACGTCGTTAAATGCGTAACGCGCTCGCGCGATCCCCGAGATCGGCCGGAGAATCGCAATAATTAATTACATCGGGAGTAAGGCCTATTAAATTATATTACTTAAGGAATATGTCGAACGCGCGTTAACGCCGCACATATCCAATATAATACAAGCGCTCGACGTCCAAGCGGCAAATCAACGGCCACGACAACGAGTCGAGCGAATTGAATCTAGCGCGCGTCGCGAATTGTAGCGCTATTTCAAGATCTACTATAAACTAGAAAAAGGAGAAAATAAAATAAAAAGCGGATACGACTCCAGGTCCTTGTTACGGACATTTTCGCGACTTGGTAGTTGAGACAGCCGAAAAGAAGAGAACGCGTTATCGACCGGCAAATTCTGTCTCTCTGCAACGAACCAGTCCGCGCGCGGTCAATTTGTGGGCCAAGAATTCGGCGATTGTGTATTTACGTTCCTCCGGAAACGTGACGCGGAAGAACGGCGAGATAAATATGTACGAAATATCACTAAGGCGACGAAATGGTGCGGAGAAAGAGTCTAAGAGCAAAGTTTCCAATCCCTTCTATCTTTCCCCTTTTTTCTCGCTCTTGTATGTCAAGATCCTACCTTTGCGTAGCCTCATCAGGCTTACTCAAATTGTAAAAGAGCCTACACGCCATAGAAGATATACGCCTAAATACATCGTTCAGACACTCCGCCGTCGTCGCGCGCGTAAATTCAAGCGGTTCAAAGGTATGTTTCTCTTTGATGCTCTTCTCACAGAGACAGTCCGACGAGAACCGTCAATTTCGTATCTGTGGACTACCAAATGCAAAACGTTTTAAATGACACTAATCCACTGAAGAAACCACAAAATGCAAGAGTGATGACGTCGAAAGTCCCGAGGGGATCGACAGAGCGCGAGTGGCGGAGTATTTTGGACGATGATCTTAATTATAATCGCAATCATTATGTTACACACATGTCAAGAACCGTGTCATTACGGCGGTTCATTCGCAATTAGAGTCGGATACAATTCCGAAGTGACAAGGATCATTCCTGTAACAACGAGCTTGACTGCAACGTGACAAGGTTGCGGCGAGAAACTGGAGAAGAGTCAATGAGCGACAGACATCGATTGCCAGCGAGTATAAAGAGACACGTTCTAAGGAATGGATTGGCGTATTCATGATTCAACGTGAGTAAGATTACATTCCATCCACGTTCTCTATCCAAACGCTCCAGTCGTGAAGCCGATTCCAGTTGGAACTTCCACCAATATGAATCGGCGGCAGTTATCTGTTTCTTCGATTATACGTCTTTTTAATCGACGACAGTTGAAATAGATGGAGGAAGAAGATGAAAAAAAAAAAGAATGATGAGATAGCAAAGATAGAGAGAGAACGAAAAGTGGAGAGAAATGATCCTTGTTAACGGAAACAAACGACATTGTCGAAAAACGCAGCAGTTGAGCGACTATTTTTAAATATTTCATGGGGCACATTCCAATTCGTCCAATAAGCTTCGCGCTAATTAGCAAATTGCACCCGTTGTCTTCAGTATGACGTATAAATAGCTCCGGAAACTGCCTAGAAAGTCGTCATCACTTTGTCCAACAGCATACTACGTCGTGTGGGATTGATGAGACTGCGTCAGCTTGCTAGAGCTTTTGTGATGGCTGGACGTGTGTCTTTCCTGAAAACAAGCAAACTTGTGTGATGTCTGGTCCATGAAACAATGCACAGGTGATGAAAAAGTCTTGCTATAGCGATATAAACACGCATCATGCACTTCTAATATATTTTCTACAATTGAGTCGATTTATTTTGAGAGCGTAGAGTGTTTTCTACACAATGTCCATCCTTGAAACTGTGATTTCCAATGAGATTCATTACGATGTAATCTCAACAAGATCCTCAAAATAAACGACTCAATATTCGAATTTCCATGAAAATTGTTCGCAATTAAATGTAAAGAAAGAGCTATATATTTCTCTGCTGTCGTCAGATTGTCTCTCGCTTCTACACTTCGTTCTTTTATATCTCATTTCTCGTTTTTTTTATTTTTTGCAGGAAAAGTCCATTTCTGTAGAAATATTAGAACAATTTTCGAGAGACTGCTTGCCTTCCGAAAAAATTTAGTTAATATTTGGAGAATCTCGACAAATTATTCATACAGGTTCCGAATGATTGTTTCTTATCAATAAATTAATTAGATAAATTTTGTCGATATCACATTTGTTCCAGATTAATTTCAATGTCCAGAATTCTTCGGCGAAGGAGTGTCCCAGATAAACATGTTCGGCATATTGTCTGCTTAGTGACTAGTGCAAATACGTAAAGACGCGTTCTCATATAACAAAAGTTTCGTCTCACGAGATGTAAACGATTATTTGATAATGTAATAATATGAAAATTGTAATAATATCGCAGCAATGTTCTAATACCATGAAAATTATTGCCCGTTTTTGCCGGAAAGAGAATGAATTAATCTGGAAAATTATTGTAGAAATGAAAACTAAATATTTTGATTCAAATTATGGCCCAATACATATTTCTTCAAGCAAATATGTTTGAAGTATGTTGTGTGCACGGTTACAATAGCATCACAAAATATACATTAAATATTTTGCATGCTATGCTCAGTATCTCTGTCTATCTGGGACATTAGAAATACTTCATACACTAATGAATCCCAATACAAGCGAATAAGCTGTATGTACGGTGTATCATGAAGAACCTTGACGAATTACAAGCTATGATCGCAATGTGTACAATAGAACGCAAGTAAAAGAAGACTCATGACAGCGAGCAAACATCAAATTGACCGCCATGAATCAGATATCGCTTTCATGTGGTGATTTTAATTTTTATATATTGCGACTCTCTCTCACCCGACAGACATTAATAAGTCCAATCTCGACCTTTCTCATTAGTAATTAAAGACCTGCATTAATAGTCGTTACTTGAAATTTTCCCTAAGATATTCAAATCTGAATTTAAAGTTAAATATTTAAAGAGTTATATATTTTTAAGTTTTTTTAATCGCGAATATATATACATATAATGTCGCATACATACACACACATATGTGTGTATACACGTATGATTTAAACAAAGAACTCAAATCTAACTCTAAATTTAATGCTGCAATTCTAAGCAAAATCGTAAGTCTCGTAACTTGTTCTCGTAAAATTCGTCAGAACTTATAAGTAGATTTACAAGTTTATGCAATATCATATGTCGTTACAATCACTTATAAATATCGTAAATTATATAAAATCGTAGATATTTATGAGTAATTGTACGACATATGATATTGCATAGACTTGTAAATCTACTCATAAGTTCTGACAAATTTTACGAAAACAAGTTACGAGACTTACGATTCTGCTTAGAATTGCAGCATAAATCTCGCATGAGATAACCCAAACAGCACAGATTTTCACAGAACATCCTAAGAACGTTCTGAGAACGTTCTCAGGATATCCCCTGATATCCTAGGAGATACTTCCCTTATGCTACCCGGGAAGTTTTAAGCAACGACAATTAATATAAACCATATTAAAAGTAATTGGCGAAATATATTGCGAATTCATGCATAAAAATAACGATTGGGCGTCTGTCTGCTCGCGCGTTACAGGTGTTGCTTTATTTACATTACGTTAGCAACTTTCGCGCTGATTTGCCGTGTCCTCTCTTATTTAGTTTCCAGCTGCTGATTCTATTGCGCGACTAAAGCAGGAACGAGTAGAAGCCAATGAAAAGAGAATAAGCGTTCACCTACAAAATTTATACGCATGCATATGCACACCGAGATACTACAAATGCATACACACGCGCGAGCGCATGCGTGTTCATGATAAAGCACACACCATGTGCCCGCGCACATACATACATACATCATACATACACCACACACACACACGCGTATACACATACGCGCACACGCGTATATACGTACACATCGTTGAATAGTAATACACTATTCCAACAATAACAATGATGATAAACTGACGATAACGATAATATTCGTGACAATAGCGGCGGCAACAGTCGTGACATACCCTTCACCAAGCGAACATGATGACACATCGAGCAACATAATTAATTCTTTTTATTTTAATGAACATATATATGTGTGTGAGTGTGTGTGCGTGTATATATATATATATATATATATTATATATATATATATATATAATATATATATATATATATATATTATATATGTATATATATTATATATATATATATATTATATATATATATATATACATATATATATGCATGACTTATGAGCTCGCGATATAGTAACGCCTAGACAAGAATACAGCCGAGCCGTGAGGTTAGTACATAAAAAAACGAGCGACGATATGATGTGCGATATATCTTTATACATGTATATGTGTGTACGTGTGTGGTGCTGTATATGTTAAGAAGAAGACAAAATAATTACTAAAGTACGTTTCGTTTGCATAAAACGTTTATTTGCGTTGCTTTTATATATATATATATATATTTTTTTTTCCTCTCTCTCTTGATCTCTCTTGATCACGTGATGCGTACGATGCCTGCTCTATATAATAGGGTAATCTCATAATTTCGTTTCTCTGGTAGGAACGACGTTTCGTTCTTGCGCCTACTATCTACTTTCATGCGCTACATTGGGGGATTAAGCCGTTGCGGAACAAAAAGTTCAATTTTTCCTATTCCAGCTCTATTTCCAAGTTGTATTCGACACGACTTGACTAGATGACGATAACTCCGGTTGAAACTTGCTCCTCTCCATAAAACAGGTAGCGTACGCGACAAGTGGCGAATATACATCGTGTACAGAATTTACGCAATGTTCTCTCGCGTTACACATATATATATATATTTTTTTTTTGCAGTTTTGGCAAAAATTTGCTCTCCTCTTGTAACTTAATATTATTTATATTTCCGAAATAATTTGTATTGTTTGCTCTGACGCGCATAAGCTCGACATATTTATGTCGTATACGTATATACATACGTACATATATATATATATATATATATATATATATGTACATATTGGTGTGAGTGTATATATTATCCTTCTCGCTCTCACACGTTCCTCCACTCTCTTCTCTTCTCTCTTCTGCAATATATGTTTTTACATATAGGAAATTTTACGCTCTTTCTTTATCATACAGATTCTACGACAAATTTCGAGCGAATTGGGGAAAATTTCTCGCTATTAGTTACGAGTACGTTATTAAATTAACTTTGATATTAAACCAAATTTTTATTAAATAAGATTTAAAATAATTTATTTATGTGTGTGTATGTATGTGCGCGCGCGCACGCCTATGTGCATAATTGTATGAAAACCAAACGATACCATACAGCTTGATGTAAACAAGCAATACACAAGCAATAATTTGCCTCTATAATATTAGGATCACTGCAATACTTTCATTAAGGGAATTTCAGCTCCAAATTGGTCCCAGAATCCGTCACGTTATCGAGAAAGACGGTGTAGTTATGGAGATGCTATGTAAAGAGAGTAATATAAGATTTTGCGTACTTCCTATTTCACTAGAAGAAATTTTACGTAGTAATGTTGCTCTTATTGCATAAAATTCTCCAAAAGAAATGGGAAATATACAAACACTTGGTTTTACCGCTTCACACATAGCAAGCCGTATAACTCTCTTCTTCCTTTTTTTTCTTTTGTTAAGGCCACAATGTATAAAAACTAGAGATTTACCTTAGCAATTATTTTGTCTTTCAGCTACTGTCACGATTGCATAAATCATCAAGAAGTCTTAACCAATCGTATATTCATTCGTTTAATTCGTTGTCCCGTCTTAGCACGCGCAGTTTCGCTCGCATATATATATATATATATATATATATATATATATATATATATATATATATATATATATATATATATATATATATA